GCATTTGTGCCCCAAGAAATTTCCAGCTGTCTTTTCCTAGCTTGCAGGGAATAACAAATTCTGTTCCCCATCACTGCTGCCTTGATGAGACAACCCCAAAATCTCCCCACACACTTTGCCTGCCACATTGGTGCAGTAAAATTATGGCAAAGAGCAGCAAGATGTTAAATGACCAAAGCAAGCACCAAGAAGCTCCGTGAGCAAAGGGCCCAGGAACTGAGCAGCTGAGGTGAGTTCCACCCACAGGACCTGTGCAATCCCAAGGAAAGTTGATTTTCCAGGTGCTGACAGAAATGGTCTAGTCCAGGTAGGTAGAGCCACACCCAGGTAGTAAGAACAAACCAGAAAAATGAGAGTTATTCACACTCTTATTCAGCTGGGTGACATCTTTAATTGCAACCAGGCAAAAGGGGTTTCTTTCTTCTCAGCGCTCCCTCTGTTTCTGTGGGATACAGAGTATCATGAACAAAGCAGAAAATCAGGAGGCTGAATAAGCCCTTCCCCTGTAACCTGAACTAAAATTCCCTGGTGCTCTGAAGCACTGACAGATTTCCTCTCTGTGCTTTATTTTTCTCTGGATCTCTGAGTATCTGCAGCCCAGTTGTGCCTAGGAGTATCCCAAGCAAAGGGCTTTTCCTGGTGCATCTGGCTCAGGCTGGGCCAGACTCCAGAGCAATAAAACATGTCCAGCAGCAGGTGAAGGGCAGCTGGTGCCTGAGAGAAAAGTGCTCTTTGTCACAGCATCTGTCCCCAAAAGTGACACAATCCCAGCCTCCCTCTCCAGGGGTTGAGAACTCTGAGGGGAAAGGCAGTGTGAGAGAGGGGAGCCAGCTCCAAGAAAAATAGGAGCTCTCCACAAGCAGTTTGCTTGGATTTCTTCCCTCCTTCCCATGCCCTGATGTGGTAAAGCCCAAGTCCCTGTCAGGAGAACCAGGCCCTGCACAGCTGAGCTCCTTTCAAGACAGGGATGAGGATGGGGAGTTTTGCTCCCCAGAGCGATTCGGCAAAACACTTGTTCCTCTCACTGAGTGCTGTGTGAACAGAGGGGCTCTGCTTGCACCTTGGCAGCAGCTGGTTGAGGAAGGCTGAGGGATCCAGAAAGGTGGGACTTCAAATGTGAGGGGGCAGCTAAAACAAACCCCAAAAGTCAATTCTTTCCCAAATATGCTGAGCAGAACCCCAGCCTCAGCATCACAGCAAGAGCTGAAACAGCCCTGATTGGTGAGGGCAAACTGGTGAAGGACTTTTCAGAGACAAAGCTGATATTCTGAGCAGCAAGAAGTCTGGAGGAAGTCTGCTCCCCTGGTTTCTAATTTTACTTCTGTTCATCCGTGTAGGGTCTAGGGCTTGGTTTCCTCAGCTCTGTCCTAAGTGCTTGGGAAACAATGGGGGAGGCACAAGTGGAGCTGGCAGCACCTGAAAGCAGGGAGGCAGACTAGACAGCACCAATGGCCTGGCGGGGAGATTTTGGCTTTGATTCTTATCTCTCCCTGAGGTTCATGCAAACCACTGGAAGCCAGGTCCAGCCCTGCACATCCTGTCTGCTTTTCCCCTCTGGAGGATTGCCCACCATGTCTCAGAGGGCAGGAGCATACCAGCATCTCCTGCTGTGACACAGCTGTCCTAGCCAGAGTGGCATGGCTGACCTTGGAGATGCTGAACCTGTCAGAGGAACAAATTGCTTCGTGCAGAGATGTCCTGGCTCCTAAAGCACCCCAGAGTCAGGATGGCAGAGCAATCTCCAACTCCTGAAAGGGCTTGGAAAGGTTTTTCAGCTTCCCCTTTAATATCCAGTGTCATAACTTGTGCCAGGAGATCTGGTCAATGCCCCAATGTGGTGAAAGACAGGAAAAGCACAATTCTGCTTTCCCCCTTCTCCTCCCCAAATATCAGCGGCAAAAAGTCCCTTCAGAGGCCAACAGCTCTCTGTGCCTGCAGGAAATCCTCAACAACCTTTCATTTCATCCTACTGTGTCTCATGCCCTGGAGGTGCCAGGGATTTGCTCAGGGCTCGTAGCAGCAGCAGCAGCTTTGCCCAACAGCAGATCCCAAACTCAGATTGCTTCCCTGGGGACACCCAGTACAGCCAGCTGCATCCCTGTTTGCTCCTGCAGAAAGGGGACTCAGAGCCAGATCCCCTCACACTCTTGGCTTTTGCAATAGGGATGGACAAGGTGCCTGTTCATGTATAATAGCTGAGTCTTTATTCACACAGCTCACATTTATGTGAATATCAGAAAGCACTGTGCGAGCAATTAATTGGAACTCAGTTCATTGGTTGGGAATGGCTAGTGTACGTGTCCATCAAATATTTTTCTTTCTAGATATGTTCACATTTTTGTCTTCTGAGAAGTGGATGTTTCATACACAAGTAGAATTTTCCTCTCCACAGGTGCAAGCCATCGTTTCACAAGAATAGATCATTATAAAAACTGATTCTCATTATTTTAATTTTTTTTTCATGGGGAAAATTTTTTTTTTTTCCTCAGGCTAGCTATTAGCTTAGCCAAAATAACAAGGCCTTAATTTACAAGGCTTTTCTTTTATAAGGTTTTACCTATAGCTAGCACTTGGGCACCTGTCCTGTCTGTTCCCACTTTCTCCTGGCACTTCTCACCCCATTATCTAAAACCATCGTCCTCAGGGGGTTGGGATGAGCTGACCTTTACAGGCCCTTCCAGCCCCAGACCATCATGTGATTCCTCAGGCAGATTCTTCCTTTGCTGGGGAGGGTGCAGGGGCTGGAAGTTGTGATTGTGCCCTTGCACCGTGAGCTGCCAGGATGGGCAGAGCAGTCCCATGCGACGCTATTGGCATTGCAACACTAGGGAAGGTGTTGACAAAAGAGGAATTTCAGCCCCTTGGTTTATTCACTGTCCTGCTGAAGAGCAGGAGCAGAACTTTGAGGTGAGCAGGAGGAATTAATCTCCTGTTCCTCCTCACACTGCTGCTACCAAAGGGTCATAGAGCCAGCATCTCTGGAAAATGCTCTGGCAGCTGCAGACAGCTCCCTAAAATCTCATCAGCTGACACAGCTGCAAACTGGGGTGCTCCCTAAGGGCCAATGTCCCTTCCAGTAACTTCCAGTCATCCTCCTGAATGCAGGAACATCCTGAGGAAACACCTTTATGCTCCCCCTTGCAGCTGGCTCAGGACAGAGGAGTCCATAGGTCTGGTCTGGGGGAAGGAACCCAAGGCCAGGTCCCTGGCAAAGCAGCATTCCTGGAGCACCTGGAGTTTGTCCCCTGTCCCTGTGTCACAGTCACTCGTGTCCCTGCTCTGTGGCCAGGGAGGAGCTGCCCTGGAAAACTGACAGGTATTCAAATGCTCCTGGCATCCAGGGACACACACCCTCAGCCTGGGCTGGTGACACAGCAGGGGCTGGCCCAGTGCCTGCCCAGCCTTTCCCTGAGCTTGGGCGCTGGTAGGAGCAGGGCTGTGAGGCATGGCCAGGGCACGGCACAATTCGCTGCTCTGCTCCTGGCAAGGGCCTCTTGTTGGGCTGAGAAATGTCCCTGGCTTCTCACCCTGGGAAATGGGGAAGGGATCCTTCCCTTCCCTTGGGCTGCCATGGCACAGCCTGGGAGTGCTTCCCAACCTGACCTGGCACTGCTGGCACACGGGGATGGTGGCAGTCCCCTGGCACTGCTGTGTCACATGGGGATGGTGGCAGTCCCCTGGCATTGCTGTGTCACATGCGGATGGTGGCAGTCCCCTGGCACTGCTGTGTCACATGGGGATGGTGACGGTCCCCTGGCACTGCTGTGTCACATGGGGATGGTGGCAGTCTCCTGGCACTGCTGTGTCACATGGGGATGGTGGCAGTCCCCTGGCACTGCTGTGTCACATGGGGATGGTGGCAGTCCCCTGGCATTGCTGTGTCACATGCAGATGGTGGCAGTCCCCTGGCACTGCTGTGTCACGTGGGGATGGTGGCAGTCTCCTGGCACTGCTGTGTCACATGAGGGTGGTGGCAGTCTCCTGGCATTGCTGTGTCACATGGGGATGGTGGCAGTCTCCTGGCACTGCTGTGTCACATGGGGGTGGTGGCAGTCCCCTGGCACTGCTGTGTCACACAGGGATGGTGGCAGTCTCCTGGCATTGCTGTGTCACATGAGGATGGTGGCAGTCCATAGCGATCCCACTGCCACACACAGGCACAGGGCTCACTGCCAGCAGCAGCCCAGCTCTGTGGGAGCCATGTCCCTGTCTGGCTGTGGGAAGTGTCTGGGATCAGGTGAGGCAAAGCAGTGATGGCCACTTTGGGTGGTGACACTGACACTGGTGGCAGTGACAGAGAATCCCTGCACTGTGCCAGGACACGCTGATCCCCTGGAGTTTCCTTTAGGGAAACAACACTGTCTTTTCCATCATGGGACCACACCAGCACATACTCCCTCCCACTTGGCATTTTTCAGCCCTCAGCAGCTAAATAGGATCAGATCTGGCCAAAAATGCAGGGAAGAATGCTGTTAACCAGCAATGGCCCTGCTGAGGCAGCAGGATCCATCCCATAATCAATGCCCAGGTGCATGGTTTGGAGGGATCCTGCAGCATGGACACCTCAGATGTCCCAGGCTCAGCCCCACAACCCCATCTCAAGGCCTGGACACAGCGGGAGCAGCTGCTCCTCCAGGCACAAAACTGGCTCCATCAGGAGTTTGCAAACAATGCAGGGAGTTAGGGAAAATTCCATCTGGGAGGGTGACAGCTAAGCAGTGCCCAGCTGAGTCCCAGGGGAGCATTCCCAGCGCAGTTTGTGACCCATTCTGCAGCCACACTGGAGGATCCGCTGAGACAAGAGGCCCTTGCAGGCACTCCCAGATTATTCTTTCTTTAATCACTTCCATCCATTCTAATCAAGTTCTCCAGCAGAGCTGGAAACAATCATCCGTGACCAGTTAGAGAGAGAGGAGGGAGGGCAGGGAGGACGAGGGATAACTTCCCTGAAGACAGTCAAGTTTCAGTGAAGCTACACAAATGGAGAGAGCACAAGGAACTGTCCAGAACATGTCATTGAGAGTTTATTACCATGTTATATTTCCATGCAGATCCTGCCAAATTAGCTGCAGAGTTATCCACAGAAAATGAAGCATTTGGAGCAATAAATGCTTGGGATGAGATGGAGAGCAGCACATCCTCTCATGGTATGTGCAGCAGGTTCCAGCTTCCTTTCCCCTGGCCTCCCTCAGAGCAGGAATGTAGCATCCTTCCAATAAACTCTCTGTTGTCCTTGGCTCTAGAAGATGATCTTCCTGATCTCAGTTCAGCTTGACAGATGGTTTATGTTTGCAGCACCCCCAGCTGAGTGTTCCAATAACTGAAGGCATCTGATAATCACTGGGACACCTTCCTGTGGCTTCACCTGGATCAGCCAGTGACAGGGAAGCACAAATAATAAAGACCAAAGGAACTGTATTTTAGAGTCTTCTGAGATGCCTCATAACCAGGTCAGTGCTGTGGCTCTGTGCATGGAGATGTTGCAGGGGAATTAAATCCATACATAGCTGAACTTAAAAAAAAAACAAACAGTGAAAATAAATTTCTTTCTGTCCTCCCTCTGTCCTGTGCTCTGGGCTGGTTTGGGAGCTGCCAGGACAAAGCCCTGCCTGTGGGAATGAAGAGAAGGCAGAGCCAGGGCTCCCCCACATCTGTGGGCACAGTCCCTGCCTGGCACACAAGCCCTCCAGGCTGGCACAGCTGCCTCAGGACCTGATCCAAGGCTCAGCATATGGCTCTGTGCTCTCTACGGGAAATTTAGTATCAAGCCATCTTCCTGTCAGAGCTACAGCCCTCCTAGGAATGCCTGGTTGGGGCTCTTTACCCTGAGGTACAGCCTGAGCTGTCTGTTCTGCTGCTGACATTTCAGGTAAATTCATTTCCCCTCTGTTATTAAAATAGTCTGCGAAGTGAAATACCAAATTAAATACAATTTTGCTTTATTGGGGATGCTGTAGCAAATGGCTCCGGGTTTCTTTGCAGGGAGAGCAGTGGGGATGGTTCATTACAATACCTGCAGCCCTGCCAGGCTGAAGAATGCTTTCCTTGTAAAAGCAGTTGGATTAAACAACAGGTGAGCAAAGGGAACAGCAGCTCGTATCAAATATCTGTACCCAGTGAGCAGACACTGCCCTCAGGCAAGACCTTGTTATCCTGTAGCACAATCTCCCTTGCCTGGAACAGAACCTTCTTGTTTTAATTCCATCTTGTCAGAAAATGTCAACTGGTTTTCCTCTTTTTTCTTTTTTTCTTTTTCCAGTTTGCTTCCCCCTGTAGCCACCCCTGGTTATTCCTCTGGGTGGTATCAGGGCCACACAGGGCAAATAGTAGGAAAAATCAATCCTCAGAAAGAAAACAAAAGTAACATTTTACCTTACAGTGCTATGAAGTGGGGAACAACAAGTGGTTCTGCTGCAGCCCGGGCCTTGAGAAAGAACAAACTCCTCCAGGGAGGATTGGACACAAACTTTATTTCTAATAAATGGTTCTACTGGGGACATGGGGGTGGTGGGGACAGCATCCAGCAATGAGCAGCACACAGACTGTTGTTGGAACAACACCAACAAACAGCACCAGAGAGGATTTGGAAGAATGAAGCTGCCCTGCCCTCCCCATACCTGTCCCACATTGTTTTCACTCTGGGGCAGTTTTTTGGGATAACTCAGAGGGTGACCTGGCTGCAACAGCTCTGCAGGGAGGGCTGGGGACGAGGACAAAGCACAGGGAGGGGACACTGCTGGTGCTGCAAGGTCACACCCAGGCCTTGAGCTGGGTGTTGCAGCCCCTGACACAGCACCAGTGGCCCCCCTTGTAGAGGGCCAGGCTGTAGGGCTGGAAGCACACGAGGAGCTGCAGGTGCCGTGCCAGGCTGCAGTAAATGGCCATGGCCACCACCAGCAGCGGGGCCATGATGACAAAGCCCAGGATGATGAGGGCAGAGGAGCTGTTGTCATCCAAGATGCTCTTGCAGTAGCGGGCAGAGGAGTGCAGCACCTGTGGGGAAAGTGAGGCAGAACTAGGATCATTGAATTGGAAAAGAGCTCCCAAAAGTGCCACATTAACCCACTCTGCCAGGGTCACCCCTGTCATGTGGCCTGGTGGTTACAGCAGTGGCCAAAACACCCTTGAGTTTCCAATGTTGCCATGGAAAAAGACATCTCTTCCCTTTCTCAGAGCTGAGCAATCTTCAGGTACACTCTGTGACTGATATCAGTCACAAGCTTTCAATTATCAAGTTATCAAGCTTTCAATTATCCCAGCATCCCTGTGAAACAAGAGCACTTCACACTGATCCTGGAGCAGGAAGTACTCATCTTTATTAAATCATCCAATGGTATTTGAGAGGCACAAACCAAATCAAAAAGCCTCCTGGTGCTGCATTGGTGTGGGTGGCACAACACTGGGAATAACAAAAAAATAAATAAAAATACAGAAATCTGTTAGGGTCTGCAGACAGAAGTTGGTCATTTCATGGCTCTCCAGACCCCTTTGTGTTCTGCTCTCTGTGAACACTCATTTCTACCTGAAAAACCTGCCAGGAAAGACCATTTGCAAATAAAACCCCCCAGGACCTGGCTGAGTAGTGTTTAAAGCCCTCCTTTCATGCTGGCAGCAGCAGAGCTGAGCTGAGTACTCGGTTGTTCTGCACTAACAAATGCTTCAGGCAGTGCCCATGTCCCGAGACTTTATTCTTTTTCCTTTCAGCAGTAAAAGGAACACAACCCATCATCCTAAAACCCAACAATAAATCCACCTAATGGAGCTGCAGTGTAGAAATCAGCCCCTGGCTGCTGGGGAGGCACTGAAAAGTCATGGCCCAAAGACAGGAACTGCTCTGGGAAAGCCACAATCCCTTGCTATGATTGCATTAAAGGAAAGGCTGTGTTAAAAAGACTGCTTCAACAACACAGGGGCTTTCACTTCTGGTCCACTTGGCTGCATTCAAAAACATTTTGCATCTCCTCAGAGCCTTTGAGTGTGTGTGCAAAGGAGAACTTGAGGTTTTCCAAGGTGAGGGAAGCTGAAAGGGGCAGTTCTTGGAAGGTTTTTTTTCCATTTTCAGCCCAATTTGCAGTCCCTGTTTATGACTTGTGAAACAGGCACATTGAGCTGGTCTAACAGCCCATGCCTGCAAGGAAAGCAGGGAACTGCTTTTTCACATCCACACTTGGTCAAGTGATCCCAAAAATGTTTAAAGGAATATACCAAGAAGAGATTTGTAAGTAAGGAAATAATGCAGTGCAAAGGGCAGCAAACAGAGCCTGGATGGACAACAGAGTCTCTTTTCTGGTGTGAGGAATGCACAGAATGTTTGGGAACAGGAACGTTATCTTGGCATGAGAAGGGGGTTATATATTCTGTCAGATTTTACTAATCCGATCATTAGGCAGATCCTAATGGATCTCAAACTTAGTTAAACAGAAAGCAGCAAACCCTACCAGAGCCCAGGCAGGACTTTGAGCTCTGGAGTTCTGTTTGGCAGCTCTCAGTGACAGAAATCACAGGGAAGAGAGAAACATTGTGAAATTAAAATGCAAACAGCAACTCCATCAGGGCAGGGAGTGTGTTCACCTCACCTGGCACCTCTGCTTGGCTCCCATGGGGACACAACTTTATTGCCAAATTTCCCAAATACCTGTTCTTGTCAGCCCAGACTATTCACACAGGGAAAAGTCTGTTTCCTTAGGGAAACAAAGCCAAAACTTGGGGAGCATTGCCTGGCCTTCACAGCCATTGCTCAGCTGGGGCTCAAAGGAACCCTCAGGTGTGGCCCTGCCTTTGAGGGGTGGCACTTACCTGGGAGTGGCACTGGAAGCCAAAGTAAACCACCACAATGGTAGGAAGCAGCACAATGGTGAAAATAACAAACATCAGGAGCAAATTAAGGAGGAAGACCAGGGAGTTCATGGTTCCTATCACCAGGGTCCATGCCAGGCAGCACCAGGGGCTGCGGGGCTCCCTGGGAAGGAGCTGGTCATCCATGTCATACAGGGGGAGCCCAGGGATCATCCGAGACTTTTCTGAGAGGATTTCTGCTCCAAAGTCCTCAGGGTCCCTGCCAGACATCCTTCAAGTAGGTCCACCAACCCACGCCCTTATCCAAAAGGGTTTTCTTTTGGTCTAACAGAGCTGGGAAGGAGCTTGCAAAGGCTTCTTCTGCCTCTTCCACAGGTGGCCAGGAGCCCTTAACCAGAGATCATCATGGAGCAAGCAAGGAAAGGTCTCTTTGGGCCCCCTACTCCCCCAGGGCCTGCTCAGCACAGTTTGATTCCTTCAGATGCCTTGCCAGAAGTGTCCCAGCCTCAGTCCCAACGCAGATCTGCTGGAAGTTTGGCAGTAGCTTTTATTTTGGTTTAGAATCCAGAGTCCTACCAAATTTGCTGTTTTTCCCAGGATTATGATCCCAAGAGGTCTCAAAGGGTTGCCTTGGTAGCTGTGATGGGCAGCTCAGTGGGCTTTAGTATCCCACTCCACCTTCAAGCTCAGCTGGGTGTTCAGCATATCAGGCTTAGGTGTTCAGAATATCAGGTTTAGGCACCCACAGGCAGTTCCTTGTCTTCAAACCGCCTGTTCATGCTCTTCATCCTATACCCAGGCAAATATTCCTGCCCAAGTCTCATCCAAATGAGGTGAGCAGTGAAGATAAAGGACAGCAGGCGTTTCCCAGCCTCTGGAGTCCTTGCCCTTCCGTGCAGCAGAGATGGGAGCGTGTGGTGCTGTGACTGCTCTCAGCTGCCTGCAGTCACAGCCACTCAGACCCAGCAATGTCATCCCTTCTGAGGCAGCTGAGCTTTGCAAGGCTGCTGTGTTTACAGAACAGCCTCAGAGCTGCTCTCTGTGCTGCCAATCTTTCACATGTGTCTCCCCACGGATGGAATTGAACACGCAGCACCCAAGAGCCATGCTCCAGCCAGCCATCCCCAGGTCAAGATGGTCCCGCTCCAACTTTAACTATTCTGACTCTGATTCATTTTCTAAAATTCCTCTCTAGATTAAGAACAAAACAAAACAAACAAAAACCTTAGAGAAATTTATAAGAATCACTGTGTTCCTCAGAAATCATCCATCTGCAGTAATCTGTTATTGTTTGCAGAACATATTGATACTCTCATAGAGGAGGCACAGCAATTATCAATTATTTAATCTACCTCATAAGATCAATATTATTCTAAGAATTTCAGTGACATCTCCATGCCTGTGTAGCCTCCAAGATACAGTGGCAGTAATAAGAGAGATATTAAAAAATACAGAGAGAAGCAACCTCTAAACCAGACAGCAGAGTGTGACAAGTCCATTTTCATCATGTTCCCTCCCTGCACTCTCGGGCTGGATGGCTCCCAGGGGAGTTTGCAGGGCAGCAGCCTCCACTCAAGCTGCAAAATGTTAAATCTCCTCTCAGATCTGTCCAGACATCCTGAGGGAAATAAATGCTGGATCCATCCTGTTTTCAGTGCTGCACAGACCAGAGAGAGTGTTAATAATAAAGTCTGAAGCTGTGCAGGAAACCATGTGACAAGTGGCAGGGAGCTTTGAAAGTCTCAGTGTCTAAATTCTGTTTAGATTTAAAGACATAATATTTTTCAAGCTTGATTTATGCCTTTGAAGTGGAAAAAAGGACGAGTCACACAAACAGAAAGAACCCAACCCAAAACTATAGGAAGAGGAATCAATTTTAGGCTTAAACCATGGAAAGATGAACTCGGTGCCGGGCAACTAAAAATCCTGCAGCTGCTTTTACCACCTGCTGGTGATGGCACAGGGGTGTGGTGAAACACAATTTAAACATTCATAAAAGTGCCATAAATTCTAAAAAGTTTTGCTAAATCCAGTGAAACTTTCCAAAGTTCTTTGGCTATAATGAAAATGTATTTTAACCTTTCTAGGGAGGTCTGAAAATTGTGTTCTATGCAATTCTTTTCTACACATTCTACTGATTCTTGTAATAATCAAGTGACCTTTGTGTCAGGCAAACCTCAGCAACATGAAGATTCCTGTCTAATTCTGTGAAATTTCCACATCCTTAACAAGAACTTTCCCAGAAGTGGGGAAGATCCTGATGATGGAGCAGTTTATAATAGGAGCATCATTGCTTTGGGATGCTGGAACTGGTGATGATTAAAGAGCACCAGAAATATACATCAGTTCTCTGACGCCAAGGATTGCTCCTCCCAAGGAATCACTTTCAGGCAGCACCATCTTGTGGTTTGCTGCAGTTCATAAATTTCCAATTTATGTCTCCCATTTTCTAACCCTAACCCGACAGGATGGGTTAATAACCCATTTATCCACTATGAAATCCTTCCAGTCACTGAAAACACCACCAAATCTTCTCAGATTGGTTGTTGGAGCACTGCTGGGGATACAAAGCTCAAAGTCTGCTCCAAATCCCTCACTGAGCTCTGGGAATGCACACCCCAAGCAGCCCAACTCCTTTCTACAGGGAATTTTGGCTGCAGCTCCGTGGTACAACCCCACCACACAGTGTGTGGCTGCTTCCAGGTGAGCTGTGGGTTTGGGCTGGTTTGGGTCACACCTCATGCAGGTGATGAGGGTGTCGTGGTCACTTGAGACGGCTGGCATCAGGTAAAAGTTCTTCACCAGAGGGTGAATGTTTCTGGTGACCACAGACCTGAGGGAACGGCTGGAGTTGTGCCAGGAGAGGTTTAGGTTGGATTCTGGGAAAGGTTCTTCCCGCAGAATTCTGGGGCACTGCCCAGCCTCCCCAGGGAATGGGCACAGCCCCAAGAGCCCCAGGAGGGTTTGGACACCGCTCCCAAATATGCACGGGGTGGGGTTTTGGGGTGGCAGGGCCAGGGGTTGGATCCTCGTGGGTTCTTTCCAACTCAGGATACTCCATCCTCAGGCCGGGGCAAAAGATGCCCAACACTGAGAAAAGCCACTGTAGTGCGGGAGAGGGGCCAGGGGAGGCAGAAGGGCTGGGAAAGATCTGGGAAAAGGGCCGGGGAAGGACGGGAAAAGGTTTGGGGACAGGGGAAGGACTGGCGGAAGGGCAAGGGGAGGATCGGGAGAAGGGGGAAGAACTGGAGGAAGGGCTGGAAGAACGCCCGGCAAGGATCGGGGGAAGAGCCGGAAGAAGGAAGGGGAAGGCTCGAGGGAAGGATCAGAGGAAGGACCGGAGGCAGAACTGAAGAAAAGACCGGGCAGGCTCGGGGACAGGATCGGAGGAAGCAGCGGGGGCAGGGTTGGAGGAAGCAGCGGGGAAAGGCTCGGGTGCCGCCCCGGAAGGCTCTGTGCCCAGCCATGGTGGTGCTGAGTGCGGCGCGCTGGCTGCGGAGCCGCCTCTCGGAGCGCTTCTGGAGGGTGCAGGAGGTGCTCAAGTACGCGCGGGTGAGTGCGGGGTCCCCGGGCCGCCCCCAGGCCCAGTTCGGCCCTGCCCCTGCATCCCCCGTCCAACCTCGGCATTGCCCTGCCCTGTGCCCCTCGCAGGCTCCAGAAGCCAGGGGTGCCCCTGCATCCCTGGAAGTGCCCCAGACTGCTCCAAGCCCTATCCAGCCCTATCCAGGGGTGGTGGGAGGTGGCCCTGCCCGTGGGTGGCACTGGGCGGTCTTGGAGGTCCCTTTTCCACCCCGACCGTTCTGCGATTCTGTGGTTGTCTCGTGCTGTAAATTGGTCTGTATTTAATTAAATACAAAGTGCTGGAGGCTGTGCTGATTGTGTTTCCTTCTTGAGTGTTTTTTTATTTTGTTTGTTTTACTGGGTAAAGAAGCTGGGGTAAAAAAATTAACCTTGTTCTCAAGCGCATTTTGAAATGGGGTTTCTGCTAAAGTTGAAGCTACTGTGCCGAGGCTAGGGAAGAATCTTTCTCAAGGGCATCCTAGGTAGTACATCTTGCTGTAATACTGAAAGAGAAAAAGTTGAAGGAAGTTAGAATATTTTGGTATTGTAGCACCTAAGCTGCCCACAGTACCTGCTATGGTGCAGCACTGACTGCTTTTTCCTGTGTTACATTAGATGGATGTCAGAATTTATTTTTTTTTTTAATTTTTTTTTTCTTTGGGCAGTTCTTTGACAAATCAGAGGCTCCTGCCCCATCCCTGTGCTCATACAGACACAACTGAGGGGAGCTCAGGAATGAGAATAAATATGTGAATTCAGGGTTGGGTGAAAGCAGTGACCATGATTTTGTGATTGCCTTTCTCACAGAACCACAGCCCAAAGTGAGGCCTGGTTTTGCTTCAGCTGGACTGGGATTTTTCCACCCTGTTCCAACTCCTTAGCTTCAGGTTTTCCAGGATAAAAACCAATGAAAGAATATTTTCATTATGTGCCAGCTGAAGGCTTAAAGGGTGCTTGTGAAGGGTTCAGTGATCCTTGTTATGGAAAGCTGTGAATACAAATGAGCTTTATTAGTGTTATATCTTTAAATCTAATTGAGTAAGACCATTCTGTTTTGGTTTTTTTTCCAGCATTTTCGTGGCAGGAAGAACCGCTGCTACAAGCTGGCAGTGAGGAGCGTCCGCAGGGCTTTTGTGAGGTCCACCAAGGCCAGGAGGGAGAAGAAGAGATTCCTCAGAGCGGTAAAGAGCAAAATATTGGGTGGAAACATCAAAATGGGAGGAAGGCAGAAGTGAAATAGCTGCTTTTTTTACTGGAGGTTTTCCTTCCAGTGGGTGAAAAGTAGGGGTCCAAGACAGCATTTTCCTGGGTCATGTTCATGTGGGTCCCTTCCAGCTCAGGATATTCCATGAATGGAATATTTAGAATGGAAAACTAATATTTATTTTCTTTCCTATGAAAATATTATATTTAGTAAGTATGAGCAGACCAGTGTGGCAAAGGGTTTACTTTTAAAGTATTTTATTATGCAATATATTAATTTTTACACCTTCAGCTCTGGATTACAAGGATTGAAGCAGCTTCCCTTGAACATGGTTTGAAGTACCCAGCCTTCATAAGCAACCTGGTCAAGGTAAGGATGTGGCTTGGAGGATAGTTACTTACTAATTAGAGTGATGAAAGGCTTTCTGCTTGTGAAAGCAGTTTCATCCACTTCAGGAACTACATTCTGCCCTAAACTTGTTTCTCTTCCCTATATGGATTATTCCCTTTCATCCTGGTGAACCCTGGGGCTCCACTTCATGTTCTGTCCCCAAAACTTAGGAATGAGACTTTTAAAATGCTTTTTTTATGGGCATTCAGTGACAGATGCTTTTCCTTTTACTTCAAGAAATTTAAAAATACAAAACTTGGATTAGCAAAAAGCCCAAAAACCCAAGAAATCCTTATTCTTTTCACTATCTGTGTGATATAGGGAGCGTGGAGAGTGCAGATACTTGGTGCCATTGTGCCTTGTTTTTAAAACACACTGGGAATTTCAGTTTGTTAATTCTGTTTTTAATTTGTTCGAGCTGAAATAGATGCCATGGATTAACCTGGAACACCTGGCCTTGAGCAAAATTAGAGATTTTTCTTCAGTTCTTGGTTTCTACCAGAAAAGCTATAAAGTCTGTAAATATTTTTTACATGATGGGTTAATGAGACATCCATGGCCAGGGAATGCCTGACAGTCTTTAACAGCTCCAAATTGCACAGTGCAGAAAAAAGTTAATCTGCCTTAAGATCTCAGGTCTTAAGCCTTAAGAGTGTTTAATGACACTTAATGAAGAGTGTTTATATAAACAGTAAAGAGTGTTCCTTATATTTAATAGAGATTAAGCCATTGCAGTGTCATTCCTAAAAAACACAGTCCTTAACCAACAATCTTTCTTGCCTTTAGACACAGGTGGAGCTGAACAGAAAAGTTCTGGCTGACTTGGCTATTTATGAGCCAAAGACATTCAAGTCCCTGGCAGCCTTAGCCCAGAGGAGGAGACAGGAAGGGTTCCTGGCTGCCCTGGGAGATGGAAAAGAACCAGAGGGGATATTTTCACGTATTGTGCACCACCATTATTGATATCAGAGTCTGTATGTATATTTTAGAAACAGGGGTTTGATTGTGAAGCAAACCTGCTGTGGGACTGCTGCTGAAATGGAGAATGTGGAACAAATCCTCTAAGGATTGTGTGGGTGTGAAGGTTCTCCTTGATGGCTTTTTTTTCCCTGTGTTGTTGTCACCGAAACCTGTTAAATTAAAAGCACACTTCAAGGTTAGCAGTCAGGCCATACAGTGACTTAATAAAGCTACTTTTTTTTTTTTTTTTTTTTTTTGGCAACTGCTACTAGAAAAAAAATGCAAACTGATTTGTGTGGTGAATTCTGGTGCTGAATAGGGAAAACACAGCTGGGATGGGGAGGAGATGTTGACCCTCACACATGGACCCTGGGTGTTAAGGACACATGTAGTTTGTACTTTTTAAGGACTTTAAATAAAGACATCTTTATTGATAACTGCAATGAGGAAACAATTTGTGTTAATTTTGGCACTTCACTGGGAAAATACAGCCAGGGGATGGGGGGAAGGCAGGATCCCGACCCTCACACATGGCGCCTGTGTTAAGAACACACATACGAACTTAAGAAAGGTATTGTTTTGGTAATTGCTCTGAAGAAATGATTTTTGTGGGGAGTTCTGGTGCTGCACAGCAAAAAAACAGGCCAGAGTGTGAGGGAGATGTCAGCCCTCAGACATGAGCCCCAGCGGCCCTCAACTGAAAGACATACATAACCTGTTCTGTTAAGGACTTGATAATAAACATATTTTAGTTGGTCGATGCCATGGGGAAACAATTTATGTGGTGAAATTTGGCGCTGCACCGGGGGAACACAACACACATGAACCTCTGTGGTCCCCAAGTTAAGGACACACATAGTCTGTTCTTTCACGGAGTTAACAAAAATACTCGGTGAGCGCTGAGTTCCAGCCCCCCTCACGGCGCGTCCTGGGGCGGCCCCAGCGCTGAGGGCGCCACGGCCCCGCCCTGTCCGGATTCCCGAGCGCTGCGTCACCGCGCCGCGCGCTGCCCGGACGGCGTTGTGCGTCATGGCCCCCACGCCAATCAGCGGCCGCGGCCCCGCCGCGCTCCACCAATCGGCGTCGGGCGGATGCGGGGAGGGGAAGGAGAAGGTGCGCGGAGCCAGCGAG